TCTTGCAGGCTCTTGTCACTGTGGCCGCTGTATCTGCTCACCACAGGAGTGGTACGTTTCAGGGGAATTCTGCGAGTGCGACGACAGGGAGTGCGACAAACATGACGGGCTGGTTTGCACAGGTATGCGCTCTTGCAAACACCCACTCGTACTCTGACAGATCTCTTTGTGACGGATATTGAGGTTCTCTGATGTGGCAGGCGTTTGATTAGACAGCTCTGTATGACTCTTAGACTGTGCCGTCCAATCAGTGGCCTCCTGCTGTTTTCTTCTCGTCCTGCTTTTCAATGGGAAGCTCCAGAGAGTCGAGGTTTTCCTTAAAATCCTTGAGGAGTTGACTAGTATTGAAAAGCAGAGTAAACATGCAGCATCACTATAGCTCCGGGGCTCGAGGAGGCTTGGAAAGTTGCTCGGCTTACGTATTGGTTTAATGACTTTGTTACCAGTTGCCGCGTCCTTCAACCAATTATACAGTTCCTTGCACAGAGATGCGTGAATTCATTACGAAACAAAACGAAAACACAATTGATAAAGAGAATGCATAACTCTGTCTGTTAAATGCCTCTGATTAGCATATTAACGATTAGGGCATATGTCATCATTTCCATATTCATAAGGATTATTAAAACCATTTTCTCTATAGAAGACATGCAAATGAAAACAATCAGCCGATTCTTTCCCTTACCTTGGGTAACAGTAACGCACACAGCCTTTAAAAGTACAATCATGCAAAAATGTGCCTGCCAGTTTGGAAATAATAATTTTCATGGCTTCTTCGGTTAAGATATTCTCATTACACACGCAATTGATGAGCGCAGTGGAAAATTCAATGTATTAGGGAAAGCCGGGGCTTAATTTCATGCACAGCAGATGCGAATTCCAACTGTTTGGGCATTGATACAATATACAGCTCTCAAGCTTTCTTCTGAGCGAAAGCTACTGTCACATACATCTATGTAAACAACCTCAGCTCATTTAGAATTGCAGCCGATTCTGTAGACTGAAACTGTGCAGCTGCATGTATTGCATTGTGAATTCCCAAGACACCGTTTTAAGTGGCTGTGGAAAATGTTGGACACTCCGTACAGATCAATATGGAGTCTGTACAACATACATTACATAAGGTACTCTTAATATAGTGTTTTCTCTTTTCTTTTTGAGAGGGTGGGGTTTTAGTGGATGGTACATGTAACATAAATAAAGAAATAATAAAAAAAAATGCAATTTTAGGTAATTTATTCATTTTGCACTTGTTTTTATGTTTTGGAACTATTGACTTGTACTCTATGAAGTATTTGAACTAATACACTACCTGACAAAAGTCGTGTGATTGATCCCAGTTGTAAGAGCAACAAATAATAACTTGACATCTAATTGATCATCTTGAAAAGTGGCAGAAGGTAGATTTTACCAATGAATCATCTGTTGAACTGCATCCCAATCCTCACAATGAGTGCAGAAGACCTATTAGAACCCATATGGACCCAAGAATCTCAGAGAAATTCGTCAAGCTTGGTGAAGGAATAATCATGGTTTGGGGTTGCATTCATTATGGGTATGTGCGAGAGGTCTGCAGAGTGAATGGCAACATCAACAGCCTGAGGTATCAAGACATTTGTGCTGCCCATTACACTACAAACCACAGGAGAGGGCAAAATCTTCAGCAGAATAACGCTCCTCATACTTCAGCCTCCACATCAAAGTTCCTGAAAGCAAAGAAGGTCAAGGTGCTCCAGGATTGGCCAGCCCAGTCACCAGACATGAACATTATTGAGCATGTCTGGGGTAAGATGAAGGAGAGGCATTGAAGAGAAATCCAAAGAATCTTGATGAACTCTGGGAGTCCTGCAAGAACACTTTCTTTGCCATTTCAGATGACTTAATTAAGTTATTTGAGTCATTACAGAGATGTATTGATGCAGTCCTCCAAGCTCATGGGAGTCATACACAATATTAATTCTTCCACTGCAGCATGACTTTATATTCTATACTGTAAATTATTTCTTCAAGTGACAAGACTTTTGTCTAAGCAAAGTCAGACCTTACTGTCCTTATTAAATAATTTAAAATCAAGGCATGATCATATTTTATTTTGGTTAAATAAGCGTAATCTAGAGGCTTTTGCCTTGCATAAAAGCCACTTCTGACACCCACTGATCAACTAAAATTTGTTGTTCCTAAAACTTGGATAGGCGACAAGACTTTTGTTAGGTAGTGCACTTTTTGTAATGTAAGAAGCCTGATTGAGATGTATATTAAATTATTTGCTCAGTAAGCTTCCACAGATCTTTTTTGTGTGCGCCAGATAATAGTACTCAATTTACAAATGCTGAATAAAAAGGAGTAATAACACTATACGATTATTCCAGTGCTGCCACATGGACTGCATTTGAACTGAGTAGATGGGACCCTTGAGAAAGCAGCTCCAAAACTTGCATTTGTACTTGGTTTCCCTTTGCACATTCAGCCAAGGGGGTGTGAAGAGAGAAAGCATGTCGAGACTTGGAGAGTGATGATCTGGGTTTCTCAGTTCTGTCTCTCCTCTCAACTTCTGTTCCAGGGAACGGCGTGTGCAACTGTGGAAATTGTGACTGCTGGGATGGCTGGACAGGAAACGCCTGTGAAATCTGGGTTGGAGAGGAATATTAACCCCTGGTGGACACTAAAAGAGTGCTTCTGTTGTCAGTCAAGCCACAGAAAGAGCCTCTACATCTATTGCAACAAGGGAAAATTGATTTTAGAGATCTGTGCAATATAGCCACATTCAATATATATATATATATATATATATATATATGTATATATATATATATATATATATATATATATATATATATATATATATATATATATATATATATATATATATATATATATATATATATATATACATATATATATATATATATATATTAAAGCAATATGGTTTCAGCTCCATTGTGTGCACACAAAACAGCTGTGGGAGATGACTTATATAATCCTCTATAGTTTTCAATGTAACTATATATGTATGATCATTGCGTATAATAATGCGCACATAGAATATTGATTGACAGCTAAGCACAAGAAAAAGAGAGGATCAAAGCAAATGGTGACCCATCTAGAAAAGCTAGAGCTTCACATGTGCAGTCACACTTGAAATCTGTGGATCACACAAATGTAAAATCCATATAATAACGGGTTTTATCAGCCTGATCTCACAAGGAAACGTAACTATTTTTTTTTTACAATTTGTCACTTTAGTAGCTAAATTAAATAGTGGTGAATTCAGTCGTACAAAAATATATGATCTTAAAAAGAAGGTGTGGCTCACCCCTAAACCCAATTGTCATCAGGGAATAATTAAATTGTACTAAATTGTACAAATGAAATCATATTAATTTATACGAATTAGCCACTAAATCAAAAATTGTCATGAGATTGTGTTGGTTTCACATGATAGTGCTTCAAGATCAAGATGTTTTTCATATTAATTTCAAATGCGTTTCATGTTGTAAAGCATGCACCGTTTTTCTGTAAGGGAAACATACAACCAAGATTATTTCATTATTAATCAGGTTGTTTTTCAGAGAGATTTTTGGCCCTGTTTTATGCACAGTAAATTTCATGTGACAAATGTTGTAAACAACCTGATCCTAATAAATTTAATCTGCTCTGAAATGTCATGAGTTCATGAGGAAGCTTTATTTTCTTCTTTTGAACATAATTGCACTACTCGGTTTAACGTAGTTTTGATCATCAGCGGTGTTTTCTCCGCAGGAGATTATTTCTAGTATTTCTAGCGAACTACAACTCCCAAAACTCTTTGCACCCATCAACCTACGCAACAGCTGACAATAATCTGGACACTCACACACAGACACAGCTGCGGCTCATGATGGACGTTCGAGTTTTGTTTCTTCCATGAACATTAGAACAAAAGTGGTTTTGTACGTTTTCCCTTGTTTTGATTCTTGTCTTGTTACCATTTTGATTCTTTGCCGCCTAGCCTGATCTTCCATTTGTGCTTTGACTGCGTTTACTGGATTACCCTCATGCTCCTGTTTTTGACCTTTTAATAAACTGCATGTGGAGCTGCAGATCCGTTATTAGCATCCACTTCATAACAAATGTACTGTATCTATCCATTCATTCATTCATTTTCAGCTGCTTTTGCAGGGCCAGGTCGCGGGGGCAGCAGTCTTAGGAGAGAACCCCAAACTTCCCTCTCCCTAGACACTTCTTCCAGCTTTTCCGGAGGGGGTCCTAAGGCATTCCGAGGCCAGCCGAGAGACATATTCCGTCCAGCGTGTGCTGGGTCTTCCTTCCTAGGCAGGCATCAAGGAGGCATCCAAAACAGATGCCCGAGCCACCTCAGCTGACTTCTCTCAAAGCTCCTCCGGGGTGACAGAGCTCCTCACCCTATCTATAAGGGTGCACCCTGCCACCCTATGAAGGAAACTCATTTCGGCCACTTGCATCTAAGATCTTGTCCTTTCGGTCATGACCCAAAGCTCATAACCATAGGTGAGAGTAGGAACATAGATTGACGGGTAAATCGAGAGCTTTGCCCTTAGCCTCAGCTCCTTCTTTGCCACAATGGATCGGTACATCGACCGCATTACTGCTGCCGCTGCAACAATCCGCTTGTCAATCTCACGTTCCATTCTTCCCTCAGTCGTAAAACCCCAAGATACTTGAACTCCTCCACCTGAGGTAAGGACTTTCCTCCATTCTGGAGTTGGCAAACCACCTTTTTCTAGTGGACCACCATGGCCTAGGACTTGGAGGTACTTTGATTCTAATCGTATGCAAAATTTCAAATTATTCTTTTGTTATTTAATAAAAATTTTCAAGAAAATTTAGTGCCTAAATTCAAGGCTGACTATAGCATAAATTAGCACTAGGTTAAAGACAATTAAACAAGAACCAAAAACAGTCTCACCTCGGTGTCGGCATATTACGTGACTACATGAATCTATTACACACTTATGCCATTGAATGGGTTATAGAGATTTCAATACACCTTTATATAAATATTTTATTCAATATGTTGTATCTGTGTATACAACAAACACAAACTGTACAGTGCAGACAAACTCTTTGCATATATGTATGTAAAATTAGCAGAACATACCAACAGTCCATGATACACATAGCCTACAACATGCAGTTCATATATGCCACCCTCTTCCCATGCAACAGATGAAGTAACTGTCAAATCAATGTTCAAAACCAACCAACAGACAATGGAGACCTTCCTTCACCACTGAAACTCAGGAATACAGAGAAAAACACAGAAATGATCAATTGTTTGCTCGGCGATTGCTCCTCATTACAATTTAACGACGTAACGCACGACCTGAATGGAACGAAACAAACACGTTTGACGTTTGAAAGAGGAAAAACAAACAAACAAACATACTAACAAATGCACACATACTCACTTACCAGTCACTTACAAAAATAAATTCAACCTTCGTAAAACCAGTTCACTGGTCTGCAGGGCCGCTGTAGCCCAGCATGTAGAGCTCATTGGAGTGAGTGATTTGTTTCGTGTGGAAGTGGGACACCAGCCTCGAACTGATTTCCAATATGAAGCTACTTTTCCTGTATAGTGCGGCATGTCATTCTAGCATTAAATTCGGCTTTGTACAGACAAATATTTAACTCTAACTAATGTGCTTGAACATCTCCTAATATGAAACTAGCTCAAACTCTCAATAAATTAAAATATAGGTCTTCAAATGAAGTGTACGATATATTTGTATTTAGCAGCATAGCTTCGTTCTACTTCATAACATTCTAAACGGTATTCATCATTCAAACTATGAAAACTGTTAAAGCAAGACAGGCTTCATGTCAGCTCAGCTGATAATTGGCTAATTGTTCAAATCCTAAGTAGATGTGAGTAGATGACGATTTCAAACGCAAAGTGCAATGGTCTCAATCCAGAGTATGAGAGAGCCTTATATAATCATGCCCATTCATTTGTAGCCCTACACCTCAAACTAGCTTTAGACACTTCTAGCCGTCCCATACTTTGGTCCTTAAGAAAATGCATGCAGGTGATTAGTAATAGGTACCCCGCTCTTGTACTAAATGAACAATCGAAGTGAAGGACATCATTTGGAGACTGTTCGAGACAATTGTTCTTCATGATGAACCCTAGTCACAGTGAGGACAAAAACCGCAGAGGACCACCATCCTCCAAGATGCTGATATTTGTTCGGCTGGATTCTCGTGTTTACGAACTTTGGTAACAATTGACTTTTGTGTGTTTCGTTGCTACTGAATCTGTCTCTGTGCATGTGTGTGTGTTTGTGTGTGTATCTGGGGCTTGAGGCACCTTTAACCCAGCACAGACTGGGTACATGTTTTTGCATGCTGGGTTAGAGGTCATCACAGGCACATGATGAGCAGTACTGGACTCTGCATGCTGAGCTAGGAAAAAACCCTCTCGTTTCAGAATTGTAATATCTGATAGTTAAAAATCTATTTATTTATTTACCACTTTTTTTTTCAAGATTTTTATTTTATTTGTATACAGTGAAAACATCGTTATAGAAGCCATTTCTTGCACTGCATCAGCGCTGCAAGAACAACATGATAATACTAACCTTGCCCATGCCTTTGCTGAACAAAATGGGTGAGCAGCCAATAGTAATGGTGCCTACTTAAATTGAGCCACTTTAGCGCACAGGCCTGAAGTAGAATGTATTTCTTTACGGCTGCCACTCTCGTCACATTTAATGTGTTCACCCACCCGACCTAGGCCATAGTTCAGAGGAGTCAGCATGTCAAAATGGGGCCTTTACCAGAGGCCTACAAGGCCTATAGATATCCCTAGCGCCCACGCTCTAAATTAAGAGCAAAGAAAAGTGGAAATTCACCTAGTTACTGGGACTAAAATCGATCGGCACCATACTAGATCGTGATATGTACTCTATACACCTTACCCCAGTACATGCCAGCTCTTTGTGTTTGACTGCGGCGAGCATGACTAATGCACTCGCTGGCATTTGCTGTCTAAGTATACTTGCGTCCCTTCCTAGATATTACGAGAATGAGAGAACATGAGCACTGAACCTTGATAATGAGCTTGATTCTGTTTAGGAGGCTCCGTCCCCTCGAAAGATTGACGTCTCTTGACCATCTGTGTCATGAAAGGACAATTCGTCGTTGTGTTTTGGAACTGCAAACCAGAACGCATTGCACACTGCCCCGACAACAAATTTCGTAAGCAACTGACAAAAGGGAAAGGTTTGGAGATTCAAACTTGGGGGACACCAAGAAAGTAATAGACACGGGAGTGTACTTGATCAAAATAAAAAAAAAGGTGTGGACTGCAGTTCATATATGTATATCTTTACAGTATTACCCCAGAGCGTGGCTGGTGTTACTGCGCATATAGAAAATAGATCTGAAACGTACGGTCTCTGCTGCGACACGGTTCAAGAAAAGGGTTATAACGGGTGACTGTTAGCAGGCAAAAGAACCGCCACGCAAGCGCCTGCGGTACACAATTTCATTCTCGTGGATTGTCTCGATTAGAGAAAAACATCGGCTTTATTGTATATCAAAAGGCATTCCATATCAGTTAGGGCATTCCATGGTGAAAGTTTAGCTGGTTTATCCAGTTGCATCCTCCTACGTGCACAGCTGACCACTCTTCCGGAGCCAGTCCGTCGTCGAATTAGATCGGAACAGTCAGAGGAGTGAAGAGAGGCGGAGGGAATGGGGAGGAGAGAGCAGAGGATGCCTGGATCTGATCCACAAACATGGAGAGTCTGACAAAAGGAGCACGGCTCTCCGGGGTTGAGCATGGCCGAGCTGGGATCTGGCTATGTGGTGGGCTTGGTTTCCTTGCTGACAGGTTTGCCTCCGTTCATGACGGCCGGCTCTGTGCTTTTACTGGGAGGCACGGCAGGTTTGGGCACAGTCTCCCCCACGTCATGCAATGATGGCTCTCGGTACATAGCAACTGCAAGAAAAACATGAGAGAAGGCAAGAGTCAGCCAGGTAACCGCAGCCGCCCCATCTGTCTCGCTCATTGGAAAAGATTTGTGGGGCCGGCCAGGAATTTCTGACTGAAATCGGTGAATAATTACATGCAGAAAAGTTTCTCATTTCTAAATCTAAAACTTGGCTAAAAAGACAACATTCATTAGGGTAGCTCTGACAGGACATGTGCGGGATTGTCAAAGTGCAGGCGAGCTGTCAGCAGGGCTGCATCATTCCTTAGTTGTGATGGGAAGATTGTCTGATCTCTCGGGATGCATTTGACTAGGTTCACTGCTTCACGTCAGTTCTAACTTACTGTATTCCTAGCAGAGCTGCTGCACTAAGGGTTCCTGGCTGGTGTTGAGGTATTAGTGGAGGGAAAAAAATTAAAAACACAACAGGAAGAGAGACTGGTCTAAAATGTGGGCATCTGTACACCGCAATAAAGCATTGCACAGACAGAAAGAGGCCACACATCATTGCAAATTACACCTCAAACCGTACATAAAGCATCAATCTCATGCTAGCCAGACAGATTTTACAGTGTGGCTATAAAGGAGCTGTAAGGAATATTGGGAAGGACGGGTTGTCCATCATAATGATGTGAAGGTAGTTCTTAAGTATGTGAGGCTGTGAAATAATGTTTATTGAGTTATAAATCATTATGTAATCAGTTAATGGGATTATTAGATCAAATATATCTGATGGAACCCTTGGTGAAGAGCTCATTGAAAAAATAAAATGCTAACTCCACATGCTCATGATCATTGTTATTTTTTCTTAATCTGACATTTGTTAAGCCCTGTGACCTGCGCTTGCTTCTTCTTACACACATTTGTAGTTTGTTTCTTTCAATGCTATTACAGAAGACATGCGGTAAAGCACACATTATTTTATTCAGCCACTTTTATAGAAATTCTCTCTGTTTTTTGGATTCACCTCGAAGGAAAATATCAGTCTGGACATCCCATCCCATCCCCATGCCCATTTCAAAATTCTTTTACCTAAAACTTTAACCAGAACCCAACTAATAGTTGTTTATTAGAATGTTTCTCAACTGATCTGATACATAAGGTCAATGCTTTCAAAACAATTAGAGTTTCAGCAAAACTTTTCATTTTCACTGCATATCAAGTGATGCATTATTTTCAGGTAAAACATTTAACAAATGCAAATTATATGAAAACTACAGGAATATTCTTTTATTTTATCTGTAATTACCTAAATGTACAGAATACTAAAAACAGAATATACAGAAAGAGTAAAAACGTTTTCTATTTTGACCAAATTGTCATTTTCTGAAAAAATATTTTGGGGTGTGAACCCACATTGGTCTCATAGTACGGTTCGGTTACGATTATCAGCATCAACTCACTTCAATTTGATATCTCAATGATATTTCTCGATGCTTTGCATAAACCATTTGATATTTTACTTAGCAACACAATAATTCTTGTATTAAAATTCATAACTCTGATATAAGTTCATAACTTTTTTTAAATAGATTTAAATGTAATAACCTAAATAAATGTATTTATATATCATTCGCAATACAATTTTGTCCTTTTCTACAATCAGTCAGGTATATGAACTGCACCTTTAATTTAACCTGTTCAAAGAAAACACTCTTTGAATGCATCAAACAATACTCAAGTACATGCACAAAATAACTTGAGCATTTAAAGCAAATTAACAAATGTAAATATTATCCCGCTTGCTTTTTGAATGTTGTTGAGTTCTTAAATGCCTATGACTAATCACATGATAGAGACTGATGTTAAATGGCCACGGCGATCAGCTGATTCATTAAAGATGGCAACGTGGTGGAGAAAGCTCGCTCTACAGACACGCTTGTGTCTGAATTCACAAGTAACAGCAGAGTAATGTTGTAACAGCCAAGAGAGGAGATAAAATGTTACCTCACGAAAATGCCACAGAGGGTGAGAGAGAGTTTACAGCTTTTATTTTTTCCTAACTGGGTTCTGATGTACTTCCCTGTCAGTAAAAGTCCTTCCAGCAAACTCACAAACAGTGAACTGTGCACAGTTATCTGCTTTTTAAGTAGCTTGAGCGTTTTAATTACTCGTGGTCTCCTCCCTTGCCAAAGTAAGCTGGCATATAACACATACATGTATGGGATAAATGACGTCAGTACGTAATAACTGGTTATGATTATTACTGAACTGATACCAAGTTGTTCGTGTCTGTATTGGGTGCATCGAAAAAACAATTAATTTTAACACCCCTACAAACTTTTATTCTGTAAGGTTTGATAAAGGTAATATTAATATTTACTTGTGTTTAGCAAACACATACAGTACTCAGCAAAACCAGTAAATAATGAGAAGCTGAAAATGTTTAAGTGGTCTTTATTTTTTCCCAGAGCTGTATACATTATCAAAGAATTGAATTCACAACTCAAGCTCTGGGCAACATTATTAGGAATAATATAAGGAAACAAAGGTGTAGATGTTTAATCCACACCTTGTACAGCCCCATGGGAGTAAAGCACAGATGGTGACACTGGCTCTACGCTGACCACTGACATTCCTTTCTCTTCACTTGCTTTTCTTAAGACTGCAGTCAATGCAGATGTGCTCACATTAGCCTGAACTCTGTCTGGCCTCTATCAAGAGACCACGATTCACTGTCAATTAGAGTGTCTCTCATCTCATTTCAGACTGCTGTCCACTTCCTCTCTTCTCACCTCTTCTTACATCAGCCTTCCTCAACTCTTTCAATGTCCTCATCCTACATTATTTCTCTCTCCTCATATGTCTTCCTCCTCCACTCTTATCTTTATTTCTTCTTTTTTTCTGTCTTCTCTTCCACCTCCTCCATCTCTCTAGTTTGTATCAAATGTTTTGAAAGCATGAACCTTGGACTGGAGACTTTCTCTGTGTGTCGGTTTGTTTAAAATAACCAGTCACTTGTATTACCCAATGAAGTGTTTTTGCGAAAGTATTCCCATGTTCCCCGTTTAGAAGCTTTGACCTTATATTGAAGAATTGTGTAAAAAACAGTTAAGGAAGAAGTGAAGAAGAAAAAAAAAAGCATCAAGCTAAAGCATATCTCTGAGGGACTCATGCACTTCATTACCATTCTGCCAGAGTCACAGTGACCTGGATGTTAACCGTTCTCTTGAGGATTTGGGAGCATGCTTTACCTTCTAATGGCTTGGGCAGGAAGTGAGCAGCTGGTTTAGTTTTCTTCACCCGGTTCCCCTTCATGGCCTGGCCATCTTTATTCAAGCCAAGGAACCATGCTCTCCCCGACTCCTGCTGCCTATACAGCATGGATGAGTAGATCACATAGTAGTTTTCAAACACAGACTCTTTAAACTTGCATTCCGGCGTAAACAGTTCCTGCGGGAAAGAGAAGACAAAAGAGAACAAGAGGTTAATCTTAATCGTACATGCATCAAATATTAACAAAATGCAAATGCCTTCAGGGATACAGAAAGGAGAAGGTTCATGGAGTCATTTTATTAGTAGTTAGTAGTTTTTTTGTTAGTCGTATTTTAAAGTTTTATTATTTTTGAGTAATTCTTGTTACACAGTAGAGTTAAGTTTGCCCTGAACTCAGAACATCTGATATAAAATGTGTTTAAAGGTCAGGAATGATCTAACAGAAGAAAGAAAAAAATGTTTGATCATACTCAGGTCTTGATTGCTTCATTCAAATAACTTGGCACAATGAGAAAAGGTGCCAATAAAATATAATGGCCATTTTGGATTTTGCTTGTATGTCTGACCTGAATTGTCAAAACACCACTCAAACCACCCTTTTGGATGCTGAAAAAATAAATGAATTTGTGTGTCGATACGATAGACACAACGTGACGTCAAAATTATTTTGTAACGTGTGAAAAATCACAGACGAAACCTTTGGATTTAGTGTGCAATAACCTTTAACCAAATAACCAAATCAGGTGGACTGATAGGTGAAGTGTGTGGAGTGGACTCAGTGTCCACCACAACAGAGTGTTCACTGTGAAAAACATTCCTTTTTTACAGACATCAATGGAAAGTTTGCAATTGTAAATATGACAGTAGCAAAGAAAGTAAAATAGTGCACAAATTAACAGACCTCTTTATAGTGAGAGAGATGAGGCGGGGAGGGGGGGGGGGGGGGGGAGAGTTCTATTGTATGATCTCAATTGCTGACATCCACTGGGCATACAAGCATCACAAATAAAACTAGATCATAAGTCCAAAACAAAACAAAAAAGTGCTATGTTTACAATGAATTAAAATTGCTTATTATAAACATCAAGCTTACGCAAATTCTCAGAGTGAAACTTAGTTGAACCATGTGTGAAATTTGACTTAAACATCTCTCTTATTTAATGTGAAATGCATTACAAAAATACTGCATATGTAACTAAGAGTCTTTTCTCTGGGTGCTCCAGTTTCCCCCACCGTCCAAAGACATGTGGTATAGCTGAATTGAATAAGCTAAATTGTCCGTAGTGTTTTTGTGTGAATGCAAGAGCGAATAGGTGTTTCCCAGTGTTGGGTTGCAGCTGGAAGGGCATCCGCTATGTAAAACATGTGCTGGATAAGTTGGCGGTTCATTCCGATGTTGCGACCACTGATTAAGAAAAGGACTAAGCTGAAAATAAAATAAATGAATGAATGAAATTGTTCAGTGTGTGAACAAAAGAGTTTATGTGTATTTCACAGTACTGGGTTGTGGCTGGAAGGGCATCTTCCTTGTTCTGCTGTAGTGACCCCTGATGAATAAAGGACTACTCTGAAGGAAAATGAATGAATGAATGCATGTATAACCAAAATACTTCATATTACATGATTTATAGATGACATTTGGTTCACCACATTGCTATATTAAATGCTATGTAAATACCGTGGCACTGAAATAAAAAAAAGACTGGAAAGTGTTCTGCATTATTAGCTAAATGAAAGATAAAATACAATAGCGCAATAAAATGAACAGTCAAAATAAAAGCTTATATAGAGGATATTTTAACAGCCACAAACAATTTTAAAAAATGACTAAAGGAAATATCAATTTCAACAAATTACTACAATTAATAAGCTTATTTTTTGTTGTTTCTCTACTCAGTATATCTTTAAAAAAAAAAAAAAAAAACAAGAATGTATCAGCGAGAACCAAAAATAAAAATATCAGAAATTTGTTTTGTATCGATTAAAACTCTTTTGTATTACATCTTGAATCTGAATATCTTGCATCTTAAAACAGTGAATGTGTATGTGGAGTTTCGGTTTGTTTAATTAGCACACTTAAAATAACAAAACTCAACAAGACAACAGAGACTTAACATTTTTGTGCAGATTTAAATTATTGTACATTTTCTAGTTCTCTGAATGCATGATGATATGCCTGAAGTCTAATCTGCAGGCAGACACTGCAGGTCTGTCTGCTGAAACCTGAATGAGCATACAGACAAAATAATTGGCCCCAAGACAAAATGTGATATTCGCTCATGACAAATTAAGCTCTACTTTCACCTTCACTCTGGGTGCCATGCTCAGTCATGCTAAGTCTATTATTTTCTTCAAATATCCATATCCAATTGCACAATCCACACTTTAGCAAGGGCATTCCAACCTCTCCTTTACTACATTTCAGAGCATCTGAATCCACAGCTCAAGAGCATTATAAAAAAATAAATAAATAAAACAAGTTACCCAGAGCAAATTGTGGGCATACTGTACTCCCACACTTCATTTGGCTCCAAGGAATATTATTTTGCAGTTTGTTCGAAAAGTTTGAGATCATGCCAGACTGTGAATCTAGCAGGAGCGGTAAACACTATCTGTAAATATTGAATCTAAAAATAATTTCTCAAAATGAGAAGTTTAAAGAAACATGTTTTTTCTCGAGAGATTGAAAATAAAGCCACAAATCTGATCATAATGCCCCATATTTTCCTGAAAAATTTCACCCCTGCTTGTGGAGAACAAAGACCTTCATTAGATGCATTAAAATGAAGTGTTATGCATTTAATCTGCTGAACAACATATAGCACATATCATGGTTTCTGCTACATTCATTCTTCCATAAGGCACCACACCAAAATTTATTCCCTCCATGTCTACATTACACCCTATCATTCAAAACTTTCAGTTGTTGCTGTTTTTTTTCTTTTTAATAGAGGGTTATAATCACATTAAAACATATTAAAATGTAAGTGAATTTTAACTAGGGCTGGGTGATATTGCAAAAAAAATATTACGATATCATGTTTCATATCATTCGATATTGATAATTATTGAACATTTTTTAACAATACATTTAGGAATATTAGTTTAAGATTTGAGATACCACAAATTCTTTGATGTCTTTACATATTGACAATACAAGCATGGGGCTGGAAACATAGAGACCAGGTGGGAATGCGGGAAAGCTCAATCCTCATTTATTTTGATTTACCAACATTACTAAGGCAAATAGTTTTAATAGTCATGAACAAAAATATTGCAACAAAAAATCTCATCTCTTTAAATGTTAGAGACTCTTAAACTTAAATAAATAAAATGTTACCAAGTGTGTTCAATGGTAAAAGTAGATCAACATCTGTAAGGAGTCAATAATAATCATACAGTAAACCTCAAACTCTGTAAACAAAACTAATTATGTTAATCAAATCTGAGCTTTCAAGTAAAGGAACCAGCCATCATTTTTCAAACACATACTGCAACATTACAAATTGTGAAGTTGAATGACTATATTACCCCCATGCTAAAAAAATCTTTCAGATGGGCAGCTAATGGATGGGATGCACAAGAAAAGAAACCAAAAAGCTACTCTGGACACATCCTTACATCCTTTTTTATTTACAATCTCTTCACTGCTGCTACACATCACTCATTTTCACATATGCTGTCATTCTGATCGTAAGTGACAAGCGCGAGCATGTGGTTTCCTTCACCATTTTCGATGGCGTGTCTTATAACTAGGTGGCCAACAACCATTTTCTCAGAGGATGGCAAATGGACAAACCATTGCCGCAGCTATGGAGAAAAGTAAAAAGCACTGCAGTGTTTGAGTGTGTTTGTCTGAGGTAATTAGTCTGCCTTTATTACTGAAATGTGTATATTCCATACAAAATGTGAAGCAGAATGGTTAGTTCTACTTACATGAATCGGGGTGCACTCGTGGCATTCGTAAAAGTTCAGATGTTTTTTAAATAGGTGTACCTGAAAAATACACGCGCCACTTGCACACTATGTGCGCGTTAAGCAAGTTGCGTGCCTCTATTGAAAATGACAAACTTACACCCTTAGTTTATTGCCATTCCTCCGAAGTTGCGCGCTCAGCAGCCACATTTTAATAAAACTATAGCCTTCATACCGAACCTTTATATCAAACTTCTTTATCGTTATTGACAAAAGTGTTCAGTCAATAAATATCGATACAGATTTTATCACTCAGCCCTAATTATAACAGAATGAACTTTTCTGTAATTGTAGTAATACTGTGCATTATTTATTTAACCCTTCAAAGTTACATTGCTGACTGACGAACTGTCTGGGCTGCATGATGCATAAGGGCAGCAAACACAACATAGCTATAGTTATGATGAACACAGTTTCTATAATTACAGTATACTTTTTTATAGATAAAGGTTTGTGGTTTTGCATACAATTACTTTATCTTACTGAATTTTAGGGCCGTCTCACTTTCCTTTAGGACACATCAATGCCATTCTGTAGGTCTATTGGAGTCATGCATAAATATTTCAAGCAAATCTAATTAATGTTGGGGACATACCGTCACATAAATGCACTAAATTGCTTTTCAGGAGCGTTTATTTGAGAGCCCACAAGAAAATCTGCACTTAAGCAGCTTGTGATTCAGTATGTGTAAGAAGTTTTGAGCATGAACAGAGGAAATCATATTACATAAATGCAATCTCGACATGTAATACTGTGCTCATGACATTTTTCATTGAAATAACGTCTTATTTAGTTGGAAGATCTGTGTAAAAGGCCTGCCACCACAGCTGGAAAAAACCCAAGAGAAAACACTGTATATAATCTATAATATATTTAAAACAACCATTTCATTTATATAAAGTCATATTAAAGACATTCAGCAATGTCATTTAAAGATTTTAAAATATTGCTGTGTACGATCTTCTTCTAAATGACTTCATTTAGCTAGTGAGAGCAATTCATCTGCTCTGTATGACCCGTTATTTGGTGCCATCTGTAAACACTGTATGTTGCATTACCCTGCAAATTATTGCATCGATTAAAGCTTCCAGGCATGCTCTGTCAATTCAATAACTCCACCACTTCAGTAATCCCAGGAGCACTCGTCTCTATTGGTAAATACCAGCAAAACTATCATTTGGAAATCTACAAGTTCCATTAAC